GGGGGCAGACACGTGCTCACACCTCTGGCTTCAGTGGTGGCTTGGCGCGTACTGGGTTACCACACGGAGTTCTGCACGTTTGCCCAAAAAGATAGAGCTTTTTAAAGTACGTCTAAGTCGCAGGACTGGTTTCTGATAACAGGATTTATAAAAACAGGCTGCTAGTAGATTTAAATTTGAAAATCCAGCCTTCCTTGTTCTTCACAAAAGTGTAAAGCGATTTGCGTTGTCTCCAGTTCATTCTTGGGGCTTACAGTCCTTTCAAGTGAGGGAAAGCTTAAAGCTGAGAATAGCAAACGACATGGTCTCCCTTTGCAAATAGCTTTTCCTGTATCTAGATCTCTTTCATTAATGATCCCGATGCCATCTTAATATACCTTGGATGCCACACACACTGCATGGCCTGGGCCTTGTTCATACCGCTCTCTCTCTCTCAGCCCCCACCTACACACATCGAATGCAACCTCCTGTCTCCGACTGAAGCTCTTAGTGCACTTCACCTGCACTTCCAACCCCTCAGCTCTTCCTTCCCACCTCCTGCTTCCCTATCTAGACTGGGATCTTCATCCAGCACTGCTGGGTTGGTTCTTGCTGGGACTGCAGGCTTGTTCTCCTTGACATCCCCCCATGTGCTGCCTCTCAGCAGTCAAGCCATCTGCCTTCTGCACTCCTGTGCACAGGTAGCCCAACTCTCCAGTGCCGCTACCACAAAACTGGAGCTCCAACCTCCAGCACTCCTTTCCAACCTGCTCCCAGCCTTCAGTCAGGCACAGCACTGCCGCCTGCCTCTTCCCTCCCAGGATCTGATAGACCAGGCTTGGGGAGCAGCCAACCCACTGTCTGCCTTCCAGAAGTCCCTGTGACATTCAATGTCTTCCCCCGGAGTGGCAGGCTGCACTGCCCCAGAATCAGTGTGTCCCCTTCCCCTCTGTGATTCTGTAAATGTTCCCAGCTCCTGGCATCTGCAGGGAGTCAGCCTGTCTTCCTTCAGCCCACGTCTGCTGCCGCGCAGAGGCCTGCAGACTGCAGTGGGCAGGGCAGAGGAAAGGGCAGGGTGGGGTCAAGGATGCTGGGTGCCACCTAGTACCTAAGTGAAATATTTCTCACACCTTCATGATTACTTCTCTACTTCTTTGTCTGAAATGGAATCTAATTTTTTTTAAGTTTGCTATAGGACATGTGTGCTTGCCAGAGAAAAACGGAGAGGGAAAGTAAGAAATCCTTCCCCCTGAGGGGGGTGGAGGGAGGATGGCCATGTTGCAGAACCTTCTCCATTCTCCTGGGGATTTAGGGCATGCATGCACACACACCCAGTATGTTTTTCAAGCTTCCAGATCCAGGACTCAAACCTTGAAGTTAGACATGTGGGGTCCAGCTGCCTTAATCTCCACACCAGTTGTTGGCCTGCTCCTTCTTTTTAACTAGGACTTATTCTTCATGCAACCGTCAGCTATTCAGTGCCTTCTATGTGCCCAGCACTGTGCCAGGGCCAGAGAATGCAAGGATGACTGAAAGGCCATGGGTGTAGAATTCACATCCTGGAGGAAGGCAGGCAGTACACAAGTAAGCTACTTGTGGGCATCAGTGAGGGACAGAGGACACTTTATGAGGTCTGAGATGGCCTTTTTCTGGGTTTGGGAAGGGACTTAAAAGTGAAGCAAGCTAAATAGTTCATTGAGACCCCTCCCTTGGATGGTGAGGTCAGACAAGAGGACACTAAGCCCAATTTTCTTTTTTCTTTCTTTTTTTCTTTTTTTTTTTCGAAGAGGTTTTTACTACAGGGTACATGTGCTTGCCAGAAAGACAGAGGGAGACAGACAGAAAGTGAAAAATCACCCCCCCCGGGGGGGCAGGGGACGGCCACGCCGCAATCCCTTCTCTTCCATTCTCCTCTTGGGATC